CCAGCTTGATTTGCTAGAAAATGGGTCTTGAAAACACATGTAATTTTGCAAATTTCTGTAGGGTTTTTTATTGGTTTTTGTTAGTCCAACCAGTTTGATGACTGGTTGAACCACAAGTTGAGCTAGACATCACATTTCTTTGGTTTGCTGTTGGTCCTGTTAAATGACATTGATTAATAGCAATCTGACCTAAGTAACACATATTTTCCACCAAGTTTTTAAAATGGGGAGGTGGTCAGAAGCTCTTATTTGAACAGAGGCCATACTTGTGAGCCTCCTTGAACTTCGATACGAGTCACCACTTAAGCGTATATGATTCTATAGAATACAAATTCTACCGGGTGATGATAGTGGTCTTCTCTAGCATGGTCTACACAAGCCGATGGTAGATCGTGCTAGCGTACTATACGTGAAACATCAGCCACTCTCAGTCATAAGATGCTTTTGCTGAATGTGCATTATCTTAGCAGACTCCACTATAAGAACTTTACTCTTTGCTGCCATTAGAGCTGTACATATCGCAATCATGCTATGCAAAGGCTTTGCTTGTTGCTTACATTGGTATTACTAATTTTGCTAGTTGCAATAGTGGCAAGTTATTTAATGCACTCTATGCTCAGACAAACCAGTGGCTAAAGGCAAATAATTGAGTAGAAGCGTATAATTAGAGGCAGCAATAAGCAAAGGGTGTAAAACCCATGTGAACAACTTTCCCATACAAAGCCTCCACTGAAGGCAATAGGCTTGGAGAACCCCCCTGGGAGGTTCTTTGTATAAATACCCAAGCTTTTATGTAGTTCAGTTCAAACTGTTGAAAATATGGAAATATATCTTTTGAGATTCTTTGAGATATGTAGAAATCAATTGAAATATATTTTTATATCTTCTTTCCAAAAAAATATATTTATATATCAATTAACATACATTCTAATATATTTTCATATCTTCTTTCCATTTCTTCAACACAAACCACCAAGCCGTGATAGATCCTTCAACGATTTCTGTTCTTGACTAAAGATCCTCATGGGACTTATAGCTTGAGTCCGAGAAAACAGGGGGGGGCATCTTTTCTAATTTAATGAAACCTATAGTTCTGAAAGCCCATATGTCTCTTTTGGTATATAAAACATTTGAATCAAATGAACTATGCAATGAGCGATAATATTGGCCTAGTTTACATTGCTTGAATCATCATCTAATGCAAGGCGCCTATATGCATTGGTCAAGTGCTATTCGAATCAGTCTGAAAACTAGAATGGTTGTATTTTTATGGCTAAAAGGATATTACTTCAGGTCTTTACTTTTTTTATTAAAGAGGAGTTTCTTAGATAATGGACTAAGAAAAGAACGAGAGAGAATTTATCTGCAAAATTGAACTCAGTTGAGTTACATAAGATCTCACTCAATTACTAGGTGCTGACTTGTTAAAAAACAAATGCAACTGAAACAGCATTACGAAAATGAGAAAATAAGCATAGATCATATGAGTATAGTATACAAAGAAGATCCGGAGTCAGGTCAAAGATATTGTTTCATGATTTGGTAACTCAGTTCCTTTACCTCCATTCCTTCTGATATTGGTGCACATTTGAGTTGTGATGTCCCTTCCCTTACGAAATCAGGATGGATTTTTTAAAAGGTGTGGAGGCACATGCCATTTTTCATAACTTTCAATCCGTATAGTCTAGTATTTTGAAGCCCAGGAGTTCGGCAGGTATTTATTTGCAGCTAGCACAATCCTACTCTCTCTCTCTCTCTCTCTTGCTCGCTCTCCAAATTATGGTAGCTTAGAGCACAACCCTCTGGCTCTGATGACTAAGTAATGATTTATTTACAGTTCATCTGATTCCACTATACCAGTTTAAGAACCAGGATTGAGACGTCTAGTTTGTTAACTTTTTCTGATACCATGAACTCACTCTAAGAGATAGTCAACCATGAGAGAGAGAGACCATGTGAGTGAGAGAGAGAGAGAGAGAGAGGAGGAGAGAGTAGTTGGTGGTATATTCTCACAGACAGTCGTGTTGGTTCGTCGTTGTCTGTGTGTGTTCGAGGCTAGCACCGTACCAAACAATACAAGTGTAGTGGTGTAGAGTAGTGGGT